TGAAAAAAGAATGATAATCCTGAATCAGAAAACTGACGAGTGCCGTTCCACGAATCCACATTTTATCTCTATACCTGTTATCATTTGGTACAGTTGAACGTGTTCTAGATCTTGAACATAAGATACAAAGCATAATAATGAAATCGTATTCATTGGCGACCCGTACTAGGATGAACTTTTTCATGGTTCCAGCTCGAAAATACATAGATCAATTACTCATTAATGCCTATCGAAAATCTAGGAAACTATCAGGATTTCCTGCTTAAATTTTCGCATATTGTAGTTGAGATCAACCCCCAGTATTAGAAAGAGGCTAATGATTAGGACACAGTAAAGGATGTGTGTGTCGTTATGCACGCTCTAGCAGAATTTCTCCGACTCACACCGTAAGGCATGTTAAAATATGGGCAGTGAGATGGACAGCGAGATAATATCTGCGACTCAAGGTTATAAGGATCTGTACCCACTAAAAGGCATTAACTGAAAGATGGCGATCAACGACAATCCTGAAATATGCAGCATTAGCTATTTTTTTCCAGCATCGTTTTCGTCCATTTGCCTTCGAACAAAATACCCAGTTAGGCAAGACTTTTTAAAAAAATGCGTTAAAATGCGTTTTAACGAAATTCTAACGCATTTTAACGCGTTACTTATTGCATAAAACATTAAACTGTGTAAATTCTTATGAATTTACACGTTACTACCCGTTTGCAGTGGGATTACGAGAAGCTTTAATACGTTCAAGCATTTGAAGGTGTAATAACACAAAACTATCTATTAGGAGAACTCATTTTGCTGCGTATTTTTTAATACAATGCAATGCGTTCAAAAATCACTCGTTATTTCTCATTGTTTTAAGCAATTCAACGCTTATTAACGAATCTGCTTCTTGAAATTATTTTAAACGCAGAACTTCGAGTTCAAGAACTTGCGTTTTTTCGAATATCCCTGTTGTCTATTTCGTTTCTTTATGCGAATGAAAAGCTATTTTTTAGCCTTCATAGAGATATATGGAATATTTCTCGAATTTCCTGTCAGACAAAACTTAAAAAATGTGTCAAAATGCTAGAATGCTTATTAGCGGGGAAATATCAGCAGAAAAACGCATTTTTAAGCGTATGTTTCTGAACGAGTTTTATTGTGTCCAACAATTCCTCATTTCTTTTGTTTGCTTAGTTGAAGAAATCTGTTTTCCTTCTAAGAAATAGTTTATTCATAAAAAAAAAGAAGGTATATGTATCATACATAACATTTTTTTCTCATCGAACACTCAATTCATATGAATAGCAGCATACAGTTCTTTCAAAATATTAGCCCATTATTCTCCAGTCACCTAATATTCTATGTTGATAGCAGGAAAATACCTTGTAACTTATAGAATATTTTTGTTTGTGAGGGGGCTACGAAAAACGTGTAGATAGAGGGAAGAAGTTATTTTTTACAGACTTTATGCTCATTGTTATGCAGCTTATTTATTACAATGAACGATAGATATCGCTTGCAGACAAAATTCATCTCGTGTATTATAAGTTCGTTTTCAGTACGAGACAAAGATTTATGATCGAAGAAAATTATTTTATTTTTTCATCCGATAGTCAATTCGCAAGACTAGAAAAAATATACAACTAATCAATAACTGCATCTATGATTTCTTTTTGTTCGATCCAATGTTTATTTCGCCACCGCTAGATATATTACTCTTCTAGTAATAATAACACTGTAGCGATAGAAGATGATCACTTTATTATGTATTCATATACTTTTTCGTTTATGCACTATATTCTCGACAGAAAGTAAGCATCCCGTATTTAGTATGATTTTTTTTCTTCCATCAAGTAGTCAGTTCACAGAGATACTAGGATATATGTTTTTTGTCTAAGTTAAGTCTATTTTATTTTCATCTAATATTTAGGTATAATGATAGATAAATATCTAAATAGCGCAAAATCGTATATTTTTTGTTTTCAATGAGTACTTGTTAGCGTCAACAGATGCCACATTATGACGCTAACTTATCTCCAGTGCATTATATACATATATGTTTTTTTTCTTTCCTGTCGTATATGTATATGTTCCATTGATCATCATGAGATCATGATGATCTATTCCATATTGCGTCATTCTAGTTTTTCTATTACGTTTTTTGTTTTTTCTTTTTATATTCGATATATGATCTTGTTTTTCTCTCGTTATTTGGGTCATTGTTGTTTTTCTCTTGTTACCATCGTTCATTCTTTTGTTATTATTATTTTTTTCTATTATTATCGTTGCTCATTATTATTACTGATCAACATCGTTTTCAACACTATATATATATGTGTGTGTCATTATTGATATTCATCAATAAAGATCAGATTGAATTTATATATAATACATCTATTATTACTATACATTTATTCCAAAGTACGGTAGGCAGTTTTGACGTGAGATTTCTTATCGTTAGATAGTTTAGATTTATATACGATTTTCATTTAGGTTACGAAAGTTTCGGAGGCTGAAGTCATCATCATATACATCCCCAAAGAGAAACCTCGCAGTACTTCGTCTCATCTCGTCCTTGCGTCTTTAATATATGTCATGAGTATGCGGTTAGGTCTGAACATTAAAAAAATTCGAAAAAAACCGTAATGACTAGAAACTTATCAAATACTTGTTTATGTTATTTTCTACCAAACTCCTATAGTTATATGCTATTCTTGACACTGTAGCACTTTTATTGTACACCTTCCTATGCTACCAAGGGTGAACAGCAAAAATTTCGTACATCAGTATACTTTAAGAATATGTCAAAACTATCCCCTAGAATTTCTTGCTTATTTAATCAATGTTATGAACGTGTTCAGTACTATAGTAGTTTCAATTCATTACATATAATTCTTTCTGACAATGAAGCTCTAGTAGTCGTTTGCACTTTAGTATTCGAGTATCACTGAAGTACAAGGACGCGTTGGAGCTGTATTATCAGAAAAAATGTATACAGAACGAATTGAAACTGAAATGCTCGTAACATTGTTGATATTTTGCGTGAAATAACTATGATCATTATAATAGTCTTGCATATTCTTGCAGTCTTCTGTGGTATAGAGACAAGGGGAACTTTTGTTTTTCTTTTCTTGTGTGCCATTGAGCGTTTGATTTCTGAACTGAGTTAATCGCTGGAGACAACATTGTGGATCCATAGACTTCGTATAATGGATTATTTGTTTAGATGAGTTCTTAGTCATTTTCACGTAACACTGCTGCAATAACTAAGAATTTACTACAATTAATTCTGCAGTACAGTAAGTCTACGAATTCAGAATATTTTTTTAGAGCAATTTACTCACTAGAGACCTTCTTCAGTTACGCTGTTTCGATTTTCAACGACTTGTTTGCGTATAGATACTATATAATTTTACAGTGAAGACCGTAGAAAAGATTTCGGTGCCCACTGTGATGTAACTGAGCAGTCAAAATTTTTATATATCTATTTTAAAGAAATCCCTGAAGTAGAACCCTAGGCTTGCAAAAGAATCAAATATTTGAATTTCTACTTCGCGCGTTGTCCCTCTAAGAACATGAACTAAACTAACTTTCGTTAAACAAACTTAGGAGTTTTTAACAAAGTCTCATAAGTGTAAGAGAATTCTCTTGAAAATTCCTAAGCTCTTTTAGTGAAAGTTAGTTTAGTTCCTGTCTTAGAGGGACAACGCACGAAGTCGAAAGTCAAACATTTGATTCTTTTGCAAACCTAGGGTCCTACTACAGGGATTTCTTGAAAACAGATATATAAAACTTTGACTGCTCAGTCGCATCACAGTGGGAACCGAAATCCTTTCTACGGTCTTCACTGTAACATTATATAGTATCTACACGCAAACAAGCCATTGAAATCGGAAGAACGCAACTGAAGAAGTTCACTAGTCGGTTTAACAAGCCAACGAGTAAAACCCTCTGAACAGTTTAAGAAAAATAAAATCGCAAAAAGTGCACGTATTAGCGCGTTCATAACTCGTTAAATTTTTGAACGAAAGAAAACCTGTTAAAAGCATTAACAAAAATAAAGTGTTCGCTTTTTGCGATTTTATATTGGTTAAAATTTCGAGTCGTTTTTACGCGTTTTTTTCATGCTTTGTCTAACTGGATCGGTGACACTTTTCGCTCGAAGTATGGATCTGACTTTCAATTCCTGTCTTGGCCAGGAAGTGCTTGAGTTTGGGTGTGTTAATGACAGATTAGGATAAAGAGAACACACCCGTATCTATTGAAACGTTAGTTACTACTTGGCATGTGACAGTTTCAGCTCCGCTCCAGGAATGAAAGCTGGTGGACAGCTCCAACTCATCAGGAAAGAACTAGTATAGTTACGGGATGCCCTTATATCTACAGGGTTTGTACTATGGGATACCCTAATGTCATCAAGAGCTGTACTATAGCGATGCTCTTAGATTCTCAAAAGCTATACTATTGGGATAGCCTTAGGTTCTCAAATGCTATACTGTGGGGATATCCTTAGGTTCTCAAGGGCTATAGTATAGGAGTGCTCTTAGGTCTCATTGGTACGCCTATACTATAGACTCTCAGGAGCGAAGGCTACCCTTATAGGATAGCTCTTGCTGACCTAAGGGTATCTCTATACTATAGGTCTTGTAGACCTAAGGGTACCCGTATAGAAAAGTCCCTGAGGACCTAAGAATGTCTCCATAGTATAGCCTTTGATGACTTAAGGGTATCCACATAGTACGGTCATTGAGGACCTATCGGAGCCCCTATTGTATAGCAGCTTGTCTGGAATGAGCTGATCAACCTCTCTAGCTCACGGGAGCTGGAGTTGGTCACTAGCTCTGCACATCAGCTCTCGTGAGTGAAGGAGTTGAAAGTGTCACATGCCTAATTACTACCAAGCAAATGCCCACATCTGTTCCCTACGCTACAGTCCATACTTGGATCCAGACCTATAACTAAATTTCTTGGTCTTGTGATTTCACAGGTTAATTTAAATGTACTCTGGTCGGTGAATATTAAAATCTAATCTGCTTACTCGTTGATCCTGTTGTTGCTTTTGTTGTAGTTTGCGTTGTCGCCGTTGTTTTTGCTGTTGTTGTTGTTGATTTTATTGTAGTTTGTGTTATCACCGTTGTTCTCGCTGTTGTTGTTGTTGATTTGATTGTAGTTTGTGTTGCCACCGTTGTTCTCGCTGTTGTTGTTGTTGATTTTATTGTAGTTTGTGTTACCACCGTTGTTCTCGCTGTTGTTGTTGTTGATTTTATTGTAGTTTGTGTTACCACCGTCGTTCTCCCGGTAGTGTTTGCTGTTGCAACAGTCAATGTAAAATTTCATTCAGTATGTTACAATTTTGATCAGAAGTATCAGCAAGCATGTGTTTTTTAAAGAGTATCTCTCAGAGCAAAGCATGTTGTCTCAAAATTTCTCAACAAGTTTTACTCCAGCATACTACTTCGATCCACCATTTTGAATGGAACCAAGAATATTTTTTGCGTATAAGTGACTCTACCTGAGTATGAACTAGCTGATCGGATTGCAAGAAGGATTCAACGCAACATTATGTGTCATATTTAGCGAATAGAAACGAAAAAACTCGAAATTCGACATAATGCAGCTCTATCCTTGAGCAATTTCACCCATAAAACGAATAGTAATTCCTTCTGGATGATCAATCTCTAGCTTCTCGACAACCGTCGACACTTTGAAAATGTTACGCATTAGTCTTATTTTTTGACTTTGAATATCCTTTTAATCATTTTGGTACATCTACATACTCAAGATGATAAATAATACTGTTTTTCACTGATGTATATCATTCATTTGCAAATACCTGAAGTTGTTGGAACTGTTGATACCGTTGCATTTGAATTGACTTGTGGACAAACTTGAGGAGCGGCCAGTGCTAGTGGATAGCACACTGCCTTGCCACAGCGATTACTCAGAACACAAACAGTGTATGGCACTGCACATGTTGCATTATCACTAGCGCATGGCGTTAAACTAGAGCATTGCAGCCATGCAGCACATATACCATTTACGCCTGAGCTAAGTGGAAGGCATTGACAGTCCAAATTAGTTGAGCAAGGTACAACTCGAGCACTGCATGCTTCAGGTTGACATTGTGAACTGTTCGATACTTGTCCTGCACAGAGTTCAACTGTATAAATTGACTTAGCAATCAATGGGCGCTCTTACCTGACACGCTGGCAATATATCTAAACAAGAAAAAACTGCGTTTATGAATTACATTGTCGGATACAAGTAACTTACAGTAATGAAGCTATTATAACCCACATATTATTGATGCTACGCAGTGTTTCAGAATAAAAACAACATCATGTTTGGATGCTTATATACTTCCTAATGGCATTTATTTTCTTCTGCAAAAGTTTATATTTGTTTTACAATTTGTTTTGAGCTCACTGACTATGCAATGCAACTCGGCGAAAACAAATAACAGAATTAGTTTTCAGGGCGAAAAATAGTTGTTCTGCTGTTGTAAATGCAATCGTATATAATGATGAAAAGCTATGAATGACACGGCAAAAGCAATTTGATTTCTATATGCGTATGGAGGAGTTTGTTGATGATGAAATTGCTCACAAACACAAATACTTGAATCAAATTATTCTATTCAGAAGAACCGAAAATAAAAGCTTCTACCATGGAAAGAATCAAGAACAAACCTATACCAGTAACTAATCAATGTCCGTTAGATATTCATCAATATCACTTTTGATCATGCATCTTGATACACTCAGTATACTATTCATTGCTAGTTTTGGATTAGTACTTCAAGCATTGGTACTTATGAAGTAAAAGATATTCAAAACAAAACACTCAATATTTATACAAGAAATAAGAGTGCTCGTGAGCCTTAGTCTGTGTATTGATATGATGGTGAGTGTAGGATGTGTGTAGATGTGTGGATGCAACAGTCAACTCTAGTGAGCAAAAAAGCTTGTTAGCGCAGCCTCTTTGGGGCTGAAATGTGGAACTCACATATGTTCTTCAGCTTCGTTATAGGATGTGGATGGGTGTGGGTGCACTTTATTCCTTCAGCCCACGCCCACACACCCCACTCTTCAAGTAAAACTGGCTTATTTATGCTTACTTTCTAAAGATAAAGGATTGATTTATCTTTGGCTTTCAAAGATAGAGGATTCATTTGTCTTTATTCAATAAAATAAGACTAAAATGCCATCCCTAGAATGAATAGAATCTCTCGCTTCGGTATGCTCCTTCATTGTAGAGATTCTGACAAAACGTTGAGTTGATATTTGATCATGAAGAATAAATATTTCACTGCTTGTCTCTCAGTCATGTTCCGATGTCGATATCATGCTCAATTTTACCTACTATTCTTCAGTGGAATTAGTTGGACTTGTTCATTCGATATGTCATATCATGCCTAACGTTTGGTTAATGCGCCGTCGTCGAATACGACCATTGATCCTTCCATCTCGATGTAAACAATCACTAAAACCGCCTCGAAAGAAATATTTACTCTTAATCAAACTAATGAAATTATTTGCCGCTATTCTCGTACTTTTGATGATTGGTGCTTTCACAGTAGTAACAACTCTGCAAGACTCGAACAGTACACGCTATCAACGAGAAGCTGATTTAACACGAATGGAACGTCAAGGACAACTACAGGAAGCAACTGAAAAACGTCAGAATATTGCAGATTTAGCGAAACTTCATGAACAACAAGATTACAATGATCGAGTCGCAAAAGGATTACGTATGCAAAATGTTTACGATGCGTATATGCGCGGTTTAGCCAGCATCATTCTCAAACCGAATATCAATTTAACATCTTCTGAACTTTTATTTGCTCGATCGAGAACTTTATCAGTTCTAGATCAGATCGATCTAAAACGGAAATGGTATTTAATTAAATTTCTTTATGATAGTGAACTTTTGTACGTCAGGGATGTTGGTTATCGATTTGTTGATTTAGGCGGGGCTGATTTATCCAATGTCACATTTGGTAATACTGATAAATTTAGCAAAAGAACGAATCTTCAAAAAGTCTGACTTAGTAGCATTGATTTGGTGAACACTTCATTCAATAATGTTCTGTTAAAATCTGCTCGATTTGATTTTAGTGATTTGAACAATGCGAGCTTTAACACGATTTCTTTTTATGGCATCAGTTTCCTTCTCGCAACTTTGGAAAATGACGACTTTTATCTAACTCAACTTCAGAATACTTCGTTCCTCACATGTAATCTAAAACGAACAACATGGACATTTAAACGTATGGAAAACCAAATACGAGCGATTCATGTCGATTATTCATAAGCCGATTTGAGTGAATCAAGATTTCAAAAAATGCATTTTGGTCTGAATGTTCGATTTCATAGCACCAAACCAATCTTGATCGAAGTGAATTTAATGAGATGAAGCTTTCATCTAATCTACTGTTTAAAAATGTCAGCTTGAAAAAGGCGCGATTTCTCAAGGTCATCTTTGATCATGTAGAATTCTATCAAAGCAATCTCAGTGGATTACACTTTAATAATTGTCATTTCGAACAACTTCGCTTCGATCAAGCCGATTTGCAAAATACTCAATTCAATTCTGTACCGAGTTCAAGTAAGATTGACTTTCGTCGTGTCAATTTAATTGGTTCAAATTTCAATACACCATATAAGACTTATGTGAATATATCTGATTCTTTTTTACCAAATGTAATATTTATAACATCGTTCCGTTCATTCGGAGTGAATTTGCTTCAGAATGGTGGTGCTGAAGAAGGAGAATGTTATGGTAATCCATACGGAAATTTCACTGGAAGAAAGACTCCTCTTGGTTGGCAGCGATGTGGAGATGCTTTTCAAGTCCTTTACAATGCTAGTGGTTGGAAAATCGATGGAATGAATAAGGATTTGGAGTCATGCCTGTTCTGCGCTGTTGTCCAACGTACAAATACGTCTGGTGCACTGTGGCAGGAACTGATGTGGCTTCATTGGCGATGTTAATTGATACGCGTCGAGCTCGATATCTAATCAGTGGCTATTTGGGTGGTATTGACAATGAACCAGGTGTGACAATAATGAAAATCATTTTTCGAAAGGGAGAAACTCGCAATCAAACATTAACAGTTGGTAGGTGTTTATTAATCTAGTTGGATTTTAGCAACTTGTTTTCTACCGATTGGTACTGGATTTCTATTTAGATCGAATATCAAATAATGATCGTCGAGGTAAAACGGCTCTGATATTTCGCGATCATAATGATTTGATACCGATGGGCACGACATCGATCATTATCGAATTAAATTTCGATCCAGTACGAAACTCAAAGCCAATTAGATTGGGATTAGCCGATCAATTGACACTCATTGTCAAACAAAGATAAATGATCATGAGACATTGGGCTAGCTAATTTTCATAGGCTGTATCTAGATTTGTTAACTTACACAGAAAGAACATCATGAACAGTTTTGCTTTCTGAAGTCACGTTTCGATCATTAAATAAGGTGAAAATGACATTCAAACTCAGTTTTCTATAATCGCTAGCTACTATTAGTGTGCTTCTCATATAATGAAAAATAATTTGTTTACCTATTTCTGTATTATAGCGGTGTTTGTGCGAATTTGCAATGGATAAGAATCAGGATGTCTCAGTGACTGCAGCTCCAAATGCACTATCGATACAATATGCTAATTACAACGAGTTGTGGGTAATGAGGGTGAGGATGAGGGTGTTTGTTTTTTCGTTACCCTCCCCCACCCACCTTTTCTGAGAAAAACTGCATACAGTTAAAGCAAACACATTGAACGTGATCTCAAAGTGGCGGTACATGTCAAAACCAGGTGAAACTCAAGCCTTCATGTGCCACCGTCTGTGGCCGTAACTCAGATGAAGCTGAGCCTGATATCGCTTAATTCAAGTGAGGTTCATGCCACTCAAGCCTCCACGTTTCGCCGCCTATGGGCGAGACGCAGATGATGAGTGATTTCAAAAGAGGAATAAATTCGTCTTTGTTCCAACAGAACTCATTGCACATAGAGTGTGTACCTTGAAACGCATTTTTTATGATGCGAAGTAGTTGGCATCATTCAAAACTGGAGAGTGAGGTTTTTATTACTGGTGGCAGAGTTCGACTATTCAAGCAAAAATAGATTTCATTTTATTTCATAGTCAAGCAATGAAGCTTGAGGGTGTGAGTGTGGGCGTGAGTTAGGGTCTTCTCTTCTCATTACACACCGACGTCGCAGCAACCCCTGGTAGATCCTGGCAGACCATGCAGACTCTGGTAGATCTTAATAGACTTATTATTATTATATACATATATTCATATAAATATATACGTATATCTTTATCTATGAAGAGTATATATCAAGTAAATGAATTTTGAATTATTTTGTAATTCATTTACGTCATGAAGTTAGCACTTTAAGTTGTTTGGGCTGAATTTGCAGTAGATGGCTGCCAGTTCACATTTTTCTGGACCCCAGCCTGAAAAAAGAATACAATTTTGGATCCTAACCACCAGCTCTCTAACTGAGATACCTCTTCATATTGAGCTAGATACCTTCTCTCGTTTCATATGCTCATTCACATCAAACAATTTGAATTGTTAGACAGTCGTAAAAACTATACGACTCTTACATGTATGAACTTAATAGAGCCGTCAAAATATTATAAACACAGAGATTAGCATCTTTTGTTTCTATTGTTATTTTTTTACGATAACTGATATGTGTATGAAGTGGGTGTGGGTGGGTGTGGGTGTGGGTGTGGGGGTGGGTGTGGGCGTGGGGCTGGGGGTGCGTGTGGCGCCTCACCTCACCCTCCCCGCCCCCCCATCCCCCCNTCAATACAAATAAAATTAATCGACGTGTATGCACATGACCGTCTGTTCTCATAATTGTCTTACACACAATTGTCCATACACACAATTGTCTTACACACAATTGTCCGTTCTCACAATTGTCTATGCGCACAATTGTCTGCACACAATTGTCGTACACACAATTGTCCTACACACAATCGTCATAGACCCGGTTATATTGGCTATGTTTTTGGACAAAGATAGTGTATTACTCACAAGTTCTCTAGTCAATGAAGAGATGATAAATAGATCCTATTATGCACAACTCGTCGAACGGCTGCAGGATGTCATTTTAAAGAAATGACGTGAAAAAACCAACAACGGAGTGTTGCTTCTTCATATCAACGCGCCGTTTTCCAAACTCACTATCGTGCAAACTGTCATTCGTTGGATAGCTGTAGTCGAGTTGAATCATCCTACCCAATCTCCAGATATTACTGCTTCTGATTACTCTATCTCCTTGCACATTAATATAAAAATTCTTCGTGGCAAGAGTTTTAGCTCTAACGAAGGCCATTATATTAAATAAATTAAAGTATTTTTTTTCGTACGTTGTCATAGCATTATGAGTTGCATGGATTTTCCGGACGATGGGATGTAGTTAATTGATTCATCACATTGATGATCACAATCGTACAAATCCTATTTTCTACATATTTTATTTATAACACAAGTACTAAGATTATTTCAAACGACATTCATCTTTGATCAACACGAGGAAGTATTATGAACCCAAAAATAACATAAAAAAGGACCTGAAAGTAGGATGTGGGTGAGAAGTTGAGTGAGTTATCGATTTAACGACCTCATTCGCACCTACACCCTTATATGTATGCACACAGCTATACATGTGCCCAGTGGAAAATATTTGCTTGAAAGAAAGGGAAAGAACACGTTCCGCATAATGAAAAGCCCTTTTTTAAGAAAAGAAAACATTTCAACAAAACTGGAAAGTGTTCCAGAATGAAACTATTAGGAACGTATTCCACATAGTGTGGAATGCGTTCTTAAGTGTTCTAGTTTTTTCGGAACGTTTTCTTTTCTCAAAATAAAGCTAATTTTTCTGGAACGCATTTGTGGTCGTTGTTGCCTAAACTTAAATTTACTAAAAGAGTTCTCAAAGACAGTTTCAGACATAATTTTTTGAAAGATCGTTTCAAAGCTAAGACTACCAGTTGTAAACTATGACTTATTGAACACTCCATCAGTTTTAGTAACAGTTTCATGGTGCTGTACATCAGAGTCGTCATTTTTGAATTAAAAGTGACATTGAATTCAGATGAAAGCGTTCATCAGAGAAGAGAGTCCATTCTCAGATGTTTCTCAAGGTAATGCTAAAGAAAGCAGTTTCATTTCGATAAAATCCTATCTTGCTGTTTAGAAACAGAATGAGCAGAGACTTGTTGTATCGAATCATGGAATGGTTCAGAACGCTTTTTATTTGGATACAGAACGGTTTTTGACTTGAGAAAAAAAGTATTCCTTATAATTACAGAACAGTGAAGAATGAGTTCCTCTAGAATTAGAATTATTCTTTTTGACTGTGAAAACCTTCGCTACGCCATACAACGCATTCTTCATCTAAAAGAAAAGTTTCTACATTTTAATGAATGCATTCTCTTTCGTTATTTTTTAAATGATTTTTCACTCAGGTATATATTATAATTATTAATAGTTGTTTTTCTTTTTCTTTTTTTGTTCTTGTTGACCTTTTTCTATTTCTTCTTCATTCTTTGATAGTGCGATGGTAGAAGAACGTTAGTGTGCTGATCAGTTTCTTCAATATTACCGTCTTGCCGGTCTACTATGAAAGAATGGGAAAAGAGAAACAAAATAAGAAGAGGAATGAAAAGAAGAAAAAGGCAAAAGAGAACCACCGAGCATTGTAACGTATGTATGTATATATATTTGTGCGTGTATATACGTGTTGTTTCGTTCTATATCATGTCTGTGGAATGATCAAGTAAAAGAAGGAACTTTCAATTGATTCATTATGTCTTTTCTGACCAAAATAAATAAATCACCTTGGAAGATATGGCCCTGTATCAGCAAAAGGTCATGTTGTCATATGACTAATTTTGGTTAAAAATCTACCACAGTGATTAGAAGTATGTTTTTGTTTTTAATTCAATTTAAAAAGAAAATTAAAAAAATTTACTTGTACTTTTGAAGAAAAATAAAAGAGAGGCCGGATAATTTAAACTTTTATTTTTATCACATAAGCAGAAGCACTATCGATACTATTGTGTACCTTCTATCTGATTAGATCCGTAAGCAAGGTCGAAAACGGTCATGGCAGCTTTCTTTCGTTTTCTATATTTATCCTAGCCAGTAAGACTATCGAAGTTATGAATTCTGACTTGTTCTATCGTTCTCGAACATTAGTAGAACCGAATAACTTAGCTCTGAAACTCAACACCCAAAAGTCTTGAAAAAAGATCTGTGTATATCCCCTCGAGACTCTAAATATAATCGAAAACATTGTTAGGGATAACTACTCTTGTCATCGCATTGAATAATATATTTAAAGCGAGTTATAGCTTCATTTACTGAAGAAACTTTCGACAAGATCATCGAAGTGAGCACACTACACTACGAGTATCTGATGTCAACAGAGAAACTTCGAAAGAGCAAAGTTTACTTTATCGAGATAAAAAGATGAAAAAGTTTGAACTCAGCCGTCTTTCTGTCAGAAATCTCTAGCTCGAGAAGACGACCAAACTCTTACGAATGAAGGTTTTTTAAATTGTAGTGTTTGAGCTCGTCCTCACGATGGAAAATCTAAATTTAGTATTAGATTTCGAATCCGAAATCAAAAAAGCAAAAATAAGAAGAACATTACAGAGAAGATTCCATATTTGTCATGTCCAGCTCCGAAAGTTGGGCCAGTCTAACTTTGTTATTTGGTATACGTCTGATCAGTTTTGTTATAGATTCTCAAAACTTTTAGTAGTGCTCTATCTTTACAAAGATTTTCCGAGATACGTTCTGTACCAACCTGACAATTTGTATGGCACAATCAATATCCAAACGTGCGCGAGACTACGGTCTTCGATTCGGTGTATTGTCGATCGGACCACTGAATACCATCACCGATGTACCTGGTGTTCGGGTTGGTCAAGTAACACTTAATGAAGGAGATCACATTCGTACGGGTGTTACAGTCATTCTTCCTCATGGTGGCAATCAATTTCAAGAGAAGAGCCCAGCTGCCATCTACGTCGGTAACGGTTTTGGCAAGCTGACAGGCTACACGCAAGTCGAAGAACTAGGCACACTCGAAACGCCAATCATCCTAACAAATACACTCAGTGTTCCGACAGCTGCTGATGCTTTAATTGACTATACGCTAGCACAAGCGGGTAATGAACAGGTGTGCTCAGTGAATCCACTCGTAGGCGAGACGAACGACGGGTTTCTCAATGACATTCGCGCAAGGCATGTATCGAAAAAGCACGTATTGGACGCGATCCATCAGGCGACGAGTGGCGGCGTAGAAGAGGGCAATGTGGGCGCGGGCACGGGCACTGTGTGTTTCAACTTCAAAGGCGGCATTGGAACGTCGTCACGGAAATTGCCTTCATCATTGGGTGGCTACACTGTTGGAGCACTCGTACAAACGAACTTTGGTGGTGTATTGCGTGTGGCCGGATTACCGGTGGGTGTTGAATTAGGTTGTTATTCGTTTAAAGAGAAGCTTGATGGCTCATGCATGATCGTCGTGATGACTAACGCTCCGATAGACTCTCGTAATCTCAAACGGTTGGGTAAACGAGCATTTATGGGACTAGCGCAAACCGGTGGAATTGGATCGAATGGCAGTGGAGATTACGCAATTGCCGTCTCCACTGCATATCGTATTCTGCATGCATCGTCAAGTTTATTTGATGAAGTCAAACTGTTGCGAAATGACAATGTCTCGCCCTTGTTTATGGCTGCCACAGAAGCGACAGAAGAAGCAATTATCAACTCGCTCTTCGCCGCACGAACGCTTTCAGGCTATGAAGGACATAGAGTTGAACAATTACCTGTGGAAAAAATTATTCAATTATTTAAAAAGATGCCACATATATGAGTATATCTGGCTGATTGTGTCAGATGTATGAGGCGGGAGTGGGGATTTCAATGAACTGTTGATTGAGCGCCTTCATTCACGCTCTCATGCATATCCACAGCCAATTTTTATTAGAATCGTCAAAATTGAGATAATTGCATGGAATGATAGTCCGTCATTTACTCTTCCTTAAGTAATAAAAAGTTTTCCCGATTACCTGGGTTTTCCCAAAAATCTTTCAATTTTTCCGAGACCCTTCTATTCGAAAAGCCTGCAGTTTTTAAAAAAAAACAAAAGATCTTTCTCCGGTTGTTCTGAGTTTCTAATTTCTCGTATGCGCATCCCAAATTATTCTGTTGTGGTTCATCCTGTACATTGATATTTTTCTTATTTGAAGAGCATGTCAAAATACAGAGCACAGTCTCACTCTATTTTGGAACACGTCGTTCATGGGCGCAAAAAAAGAGATCACAAGTTCATTGAATGAAAAAATTGTGACCAAATTAAATCATCTTCCTTAAATCGAATGGTTTGGTGCTGAAAATCTCATCAGAAATTTCTCTTAATAGTCTGAACACATCTTCTTAGGTCCAGCTTGTTTCAACATTCTGGGTTGAGATCGACGGTTGGGGGAGGGAGAAGCCTTAAAGGTTCTTTTTTTAAATTCTTATTCTAAATCAATTAACTAATCACATAACACTGTTAAATGTGTTGATGTTGTATGTTTTGTCTTGAAGTAGAAGTTTTGTGCTGAACGCAAATGTTTTTCTTCATACCCCAATATATCTAATCTATTATATGCAATAATAAGAAGAAAACACAGAGAATGAAAGCTTTCCTTCAAGTTCGATACGATCATTTTGTTATAAAATATCTTTATGTTGAGATATAATTGTTATGCGTATGGAGCATTCAAGTTTAAATTATTTTTCTTGGTGATTTAATCGATCGAATGTCGTACAAAGTTCTTCTAATAAATTACATGTAAGATCTTCAAATTTAATCATGAGATCATGACTTGGTCATAGAGAACCAAAATTAAATACTTTTTATCTTTAAATTTGTTGAACAAGCAAATGTGTTAGATACGAATGACCAATTATATCGGAGGTTAATATCTTGAAATATAAAATATCAAAAACTATTCTCTGATTTGCTGATCAGGTTTCGTCGACTGGTGTCCTTGCTGTTCATCCTTCCTGTTTATTGTCTATTCATCTATGGGATGATCGTTAACAGCATGTTAGTCATTTCCTCATTGTCAAGCTAATATTCTATGAAGAATTTTTCTAGGCACTTTACTCGACGACTGATACCTCTTTTGAAATTTATACTTTCATTTTCTATGATACGAACTTCGTCCAGCATACTTATAAATTGTTGTTGTTTGATATTTTTAATTAATTTAATTTTTCTTCTATATCATTGATCTATAGACAAATATGAATTGTAAAAGAAAGATAATAATACAAATACAAACAAATTTCATAAACTTGAACACTGATGTACCTTTTTCTACCATTAAACGAATAATACTCCCATTCACACTCATGTCATGGTTTTTAGGCATAGGGTGTTGCTATAAATAGATGAGTTAATTATACTACTGTTATTCCATTGATTATCTAAGAGTTATTGTACCATTTTATGATATTTACAATCTATTTTATTTTTTTTCCACAAAAATTAAGTACTATGTAGGTCTCGCATCGTAAAAGGAGTTGTTGTTCTGCTAGAATCTTTGTAGAAATTAAAAACGCAACAGAACTGACAGATTTGAGCTAGAAAAAATTTCACTTTGGCTTGAAAGCCTCTTACAATATCTTGAAAAATTCATTAGAGTAGATTCTGTAGAGAAAGCCAACTTTGAAAACTCGTGTCGATGAATTTTGCAAGACAAGACATCTTTTTCACTATTTATTTCATAACGATCACTAATATGACGATGACAATTTCATTTTAACATTTTAGGACCAATTTATCATGCATATATGTATATATTCTAGACCTTATTCATGCTTTTGTATATGGAAGGCATTAAAGTCAAAATATGTATGAAAAACCTTTCCAAATAGAAATGTGTCTAGTTGCATGTTGAATGTAATATTTAAAAATAGAAATATATTTGAATCTTATGTAAATTATTAGTTTATGCAGAAAGTAAATGTCCATATGAAATAAAGAATCTGTTTACATTCAGGTTCATGAAAAAATATGCTATTCTGAATAGTGTTAATGATCTAACACTAAGGGAATAGTTGTCTTTAGAACTTCTATAATGACAGAAGCACTCGACCGTATTAGAAAAATTCAATCTGATCTTATCATTACGATAATCAAGAAAAATGATTGATACATAAAAGTAGATAGTGTACTTTGTTGAGCATTTTACCACATTCACAGATGTAGAAAAAAAAGATTCACAAGAAATTATTAGCAAATGCCAATTAATTAGATTTTTCCTTACGTAAATAATAAACTGACTCATTTATTGAAGCTAAGTACTAGAGTATTTAAGGGTAAGTAAACTTACTTCTTGAGGGTAAGTGTGAGGGTGTGGGTGTGGATGTGGATGTGGGTGTGGGTGTGGATGTGGGTGTGGGTGTGGGTGTGGGTGTGGGTGTGGGTGGGTGTGTGGGTGTGGGTGTGAGTGTGCGTGTGGGTGTGCGTGTGGGTGTGCGTGTGGGTGTGGGTGTGGGTGTGGGTGTGGGTATGGGTGTGAGCGTTCTCTTCAGTTACAGTCAAACACCCACACTCGCAGCCACACCCACACCCACTAACACCAAAACCCATCGACACCCACCCACACCCACACAGACACCAACACGGACACCTACATCCACCCTCAAACCCGCACCCACACGGACACCGACACGGACACCCACACCCACCCTCAAACCCACACCCACACCCACACCCACACCCACACCCACACCCACACCCACACCCACCCCACACCCTGCTTCTTGCACTATTCGATACGTGACCACTTATCAAATAATAAAATGGTACCTTGCAAGCAGTAATTTCTTTATACCCAATGTTCACTCAGTCATCTGTTTGACTAATGACTTATCACTTTAATAAATTGTTTGCCCAGCATGGTCTCTGTTAAAAACACCTGTTTGAAGAGTGGCGATGGTAGAACGTATAGAAAAAAGAAACTCATATATGGTATAAATGAAATATAGTAAGCCAGCAAAATGAGATGAACGAACCAAGAAGTTTGTTCATAAGTGCAAGCATCATGAAACAGAATGATCAATTGAGGTAGTTGCGTTATGAAACATATGATTGGGCCGAACAGAAGACCTTGCCGTTCGCGTGCTTGTTTTACTAAAGTTCTATGCACTGGAAGGTGTTGGCTGATTGCTTTTGACCGACTAATGAAAACTATAATGATCAAACCACTTAAAAGGTTAATGATAAATGGAACGATTTGATGTACTAGTGATATGTACTGAGCAAAGTTTTCTTGATGCGTACCAATCTCACTTACACACCACGAATAAAGTTTATCAGGATGGTTAACTAATTTATGTTGATCGATATGTATATAGATCGAGCCAAATACCACAGCAGTTATGAGTGCAGTAAAAATGTAGGCCAACTTTGGTGCGCGCAACGTAGAAAATCGTGCAGGCAAAGTAACTAGTAATGCTCTGTCCACTGTGACAAACGCTATTAGCCAAAGATTTATATAGTTAAGCGAAGCCATGAGATAAGGTAGACTCTTGCATAATCCAATATTTAGCGATTGTCTAATGATGATTAAACGTGAATGATAGAGATAAGCAACGCGACTACATAAGAGAACGAGCACTAGTTGACTGGTAAATGCATTGACCAGAAGATAGAATCCACTACCTGTCTGACGAGATTTTGGTTTTACGAATGTGACAATACTGAAAACATTGAAAATTGTACCGAAGAATACGAAGATAATCGGTCCAATGAAGTGATAGCGATTCCATTTCGCTTTTTCCATAAGATATTCCAACGAGATTATATAACGACTTGGAGAATATTGGCAAAGCTTGCCCGATACACATTTAGGGCATACGCAAACAAAGTCACTTTTATTCTGAGACTCACCTTGAATGCAGTAACCTTGATTGAGACAAAATGTGCAGGCAATATTTCGTCGAAGGTACGACACACATTCGCTTCTGTTTGGCGTCATCATACTGCAATAGCACAGATAACTCTCCGACAAGAAACATGAATAATTCACTGGTTGCTGACAAAAGCTGTGAAAAAGTTTCACAGAACGATGCTCCGTTTCATCCAATAACCGACACCGTTGAGGTTGAATATCCAGGTCGATTGTAAAGTTTCGCAGAACATTTGAACAATTTATGTAGAGCAGATGAATATCGATATCAACTGATTTTATGTGTGGCTGAAATGTAAACATTAAACCTATTTCAGGTATATCGGCTGCTCTATAGTGCGTGTCATGTGTTTTCATTACTCTTGTGATTGGAAAATTGGTTGATGCGTGAACGAGAATATGTTGTCGTAAGCGTGGATAATTCGAAGTCATTTTAAGCAGTTGAAGAAGAAAAGGCCACTCGTTTGGTTTATTTTGATGCATAACAATTACTGTTGCTAGCTTGTCACAGTTCAAGCCGTTACAAAGACATTTATAACTGTTAGGAGGTTGAGTGGAGAGAGCATAGCATGTTTCATTTAATGAGCAAGGATGTGACTTCTCACACACAGTATTACGAACAAAACAATGAGGCTCAAGATACCCATATGGGCATACACAAACATTTCGATCTCGTGCAAGGGAATGGAAAGCACATTTTATGTCATTAATTCTCTTCTCACAAAAAAAACCTTGCCAACCTCGTTGGCATAAACATAAATGTTGTCCATTATTTGTATTATAACATGTTCCATTATTTTGACAGTGATTATACGAACACAACCAGGGTAGACTACGATCCGAAAATCGCAATATTTTGGCTAGACGAAAAACAGGTAGAAAACTAAATGGACTAATTGGATATTCCCATGCCGTTAGTATATTAGTTGAATGATAGGCTTCGAAACGAACTGAATATATTCCCTGCGGTCTAGGACGAGGATATTGCAAGTAGATAGTGTGTTTAGATGGAAAATCTTTGTCAATATCGACAAACATTTGATGATCAAGAATTGTTTGGTTATCGTGTACAAGTAAAACCAGCACATGTATGACTAGTGGAAGATCGAAACGATGATATCGATCGAAGCGAACACGAACAGTTATGCGTCGACTGTTAAATTGGCAACGGGTGCCATAAAAACTCGGAGGACAAAAGCAATAATATGCTTTACGACTTTCATCCGTCAGATAGAAACCTCTGTTACATACTCCATGCGGACGAAACTTTGAACTTTTTCTATTGCCAGGAATCATTAGTGATGTTTTAGTAGTACTAGTTGTCAATTGAGTACTCAAATGGCTATAGCAAAACGTCTCATAATTTGATGGACGTCGACGTTTACTTAAGCGGTAAATCATTGACGCAGTTCTCGCATTGGGATACCAAAACCAAGAAGTCTCATTTGAACAAGTGCAATTCGATTTGGCATTACATCGACCATTTTCACATGAATTTGTATCTGAACATGCCAATTGTTCTTTAATACACTGTTCATATTGGCAGAAGCAAATATATTCATCTGTACGATCCGAACAATCAAATACACCATTACATAAAGTTGTATAGTTAAGACATTTCGTTTGATTATCACATAAAAATCGATTGCCAAGCATTGTGTGATCTGAACAAGAGAATACGTTACGTTCATCTTGGCCACCTAAACAGTCAATTTTACCATCACCAACATTGGTATATGATATACAAGGACGGTTTAATATGCGATCCTGCAGATATTGTGACGTTATACAAAAATGTTCATTTGACTTGTGACAAACGAATTCTGAAGGCCATTCTTGTGATCGTCTAGGACAGTTCAATTCGTCTTCGCCATCATCGCAATCAAATTCTCCGTCACATAAATATGTTCTTTTGATACATTGACTTGTCCTGTTGCACTGGTAAGTTCCACGTGCACAAACCCATTTAGAGCAATCTCGTTCATCTCGACCATCCATCGTATCCCAAACTGTATCGCAATAAAGATGAAAAGATAGCCGAACATCTTTTATTCTATTCTCAATGATTCCATCACCTCGAAATACCCAGCAAGCAAAACTATCATCAACCCTACAGTCCAAAGAAGACCAACTTAGTTCACTTGAGATTTCATCACTACCATCTGTACATTCGTTCACTTCATTGCCCAATTGTTGAAAGCTTATATACTGAACTGGCGATGATCCTGTCTGACAACGATATCGAAATGGTTCGGTCATCGTGTAAACACTATTCTTTTCGTCCTCAGCATAAAGACAATCTGCGTAGCCATCGTTGACACGACGTAGTGAGATACAATCTGACGTATTCGGACAAGTAAAAACTATTGATGATGGCAGTTGTCCATATGTATTCGATTGAAATAAAGTAACACTGCAAGATTTTAAAGGTAGACGAGTACTGACTACGTTTTCTTGTTCCAATGACAGTTTTGTACGGGTGGAACATAAGTATAACTCAAAACGAATCATTCTTCTGTACTTTGACATATACTTTAGAGATTTAAAATTATTTATAGGCTGTTTTAATTGACTATACAATAGGCGCATAGAGCTTTTTAAAACGTATTTGATTGTATCTCCGATGAATCTTTTGCGAACGTAAGTCTGTTGGATTTTTCTCTTAAAGTGATTTTCTATTCCGGAGGATGAGCGAAAGAACTTCATATTTGAGATATCTATACGAGAGATTTCTCTATCTTGGCCTATGAGCATGTTTCCTTCGTATTATACTAGACTAACTACTTGTAGGATGCAGAGAAACGATAAAGAATGATGTAAAACAATACAGTTGCAGAGTATGTTTTTTGGATAGCCCAGAATGACTTCCCTAAAGAAGTGAGTGTACATGAAACAATCGATTTAGGCTAAGAGATAAATTTTTGATCGAATACAAAATACGCTGTGTGTTAAACATAATCCACGAATAAACATTCTATGTTTCATAGCATCTCGTTCGCCAAATTGCAGAACACCACATTGTTTGTTTCCTTATTTTCACAAAATTTTGAACCTAACTGTTATGCCAGTAGAGACATTTCCGAGATAAGAAGAGCCCCTCGATTCTGTTATTGCATTGGATAAGTACATTCTTTGTTTATCTTTTTCTGAGTGAATTGCTTTTTCTTTCTGCGAATAGATTATTTGAAATAAAGGTGGAAAAAGAAAAGGCCTAAAATATTTTGATATACTACCTCGGAAACAACACAGAGCCCTCAGCCACCACATACGTTTCGCGTATGAGAAGTAGATGGGGTATCCGAAATGTTTCTCTTTCCTTAGAAAACGAAAGAAAAGAGATAATAAAAGCTGCTTTCCAGTATGGAAATAATACAGCTGCTTGAAAGAAATCGTAACGTGAATGAATTACCACGTGATTTAGGAAAGATGAGTCCCCGTATGACTGCAAATGAACCCTTAAATCGGATAACAGTAATCTAGGATTATGGGTATTACCACAGCTTACACGAGACTATTAGAGTGTACCCGGGATCCCAATGGATTATTGAAAACTGGAGTCTTATCACATCAGCCGTACCTCCATCTCACGCTCAAAGCAGAAAAGACAGGCTTCAGTTCTTTGCGAAAGAGCGTATCTTTTGTTTCATTCCGTCGTCATATCACAATGTTACTATCTCGCTTACAAGACTAATAAAATTAATCTGTTCAGAAAGACAAATGAAACAAGTCGAATCCTACAGTATGCTTTCCTTTATTGCTGAATAAAGCGAATTCACTCATGAATGAAATAGTTCTAATATGAAAGTGAAGTTAATACTTTATGACTGATATATGATGCAGCTCGTAAACATTTGTCTTCTCCGACAGTAGTAACTTCATGGATTATTTAATTGTGTATGAAAGTTTTCTGATGAGTTTAGGCAATAAAAAAGATCCTTTTGCTCACAGAAGACAACTCCAGAAACGTTCACATCTTTCAAATAGGCCATAATATACTTGTCTATAAAATGCTATCCCTTCAGATGACTAACTTTTCAAATTTGGCTTGTTTTACTGCTTCATGACAAAATAATTGAGATATTGGAAAAAATGGATACGAAGTAAGTGTTTCGAAGTAATTGTAGTCCATGCAATTATCTTTCTGAAGTGTCATCCAGATTCCATGACAAACCATCGAACCACTGAAACAGACAAGATCCGGTCGTTTTAACATTTGTTTTGTAAAATTTTGCTGACTTGTATAAAAGTCGATTATTCGAGACTTTTTATAGAACATTTTGAATACTGGAGAAAACACAGGCCGTTCAGGATATTCAATAGTTTCTAAACAACGATCCTTAATATTGTTTATAGCCATTTTGCGCATTTTACTCAGTTGTTGTTCTCCAGTTGTGAGTAACAGATACCGAAGACTTATCAAACAACTTGATGTATTTGTCAGTTGAGGTATTTGAAGACTTGTTGACGAACAGACAGCATTTGCTATCAATCGATTGGTTATCACGAAGTCGGGTGTCTCGCAGAAGTAAGTTGCATCACGCCAATTTTCGCAAGACACGTGATGATGATCAATGATAGAAGACCATTTTATGCATTGTCCGTCACCACATGAAAATTCATCCTTCCGACAAAGACGTTCATCACATTCCATTGTCGACATTTTCGGACACCTATTGTACACTTGGTAGATATCACTCAATTCTTGTTCATCACTCAAATCCATACAATCGAGCACAGCATCAAATAAGAACTCCTTTGGAATACACATTCCATTTCGACATTGGAATTCATCCGTGTTGCATTTGTTGAATTCTAACAAATGGCAATTGAGTTCATCAGCTGCATTTTGACAATTAACAATACCATCACAAATTTGTCGCCATTCCAAATTAAGACTACTTGTATTACATGATATTTCATCGACAAAAGATGCCGGTAATTCTGATTCNTGGATCTCATTGTTACCGTTTAATTGCATTTGTATCACTTGAGAAATACTTACAGTTTCCTTTGTTAGTTTATATTCACATTTTGTGCCGATTCGACTTGCAAAACATTGACAGATGGCTGTGTTGTCATTGGAATCAATAGAAGTGGCATTCAAATAGCTTGCATATTGTTCAATAACGCTAAATGGAATAAGCCAATCGATGAGCTTGTCGGTAGTGACGTGCCTTTGTTTCAATTGAGAAAATGGCCGTAGTTGACCTTGTGCGCATGTCATGGTTATCTTTTGTATAACAATCTGGTCGTCTGCCGAATGACAGAAGTAACGAGAATCGTATAAGAAGCAATCTATGTTCAGTTCGTCATTGGAATAAATTAACCATTCATTGCGTTCGGCTAAAGCAAAAATGGCATAACAACTGAAGATGAATGTAAACGACGTCCACAGAAGTATCATTGCTTTTATCATTTATAACTTAACTAAATTGAGTAAAGTTATGAAAAGAATTAAACGGCTACTTGTAGAGTACTGATGTTGATATACATTGCACTGATTCAACAAGAGAATTGCAAATTCTCTCTCCACAGAACTCAGTAACAGAAGTAATCAAAGACTGCACGTAACTGATAGTCGCTAAAAGGTATTAACACGTAAATGGCAATAACTCACGCATGACTTCAAGTCATTCACAGTCAATAGCACGTAGCTAGTATTTACTGACAGTCACTGGTTTTATGTTGCACCTTTCCTTAAAACAAGCATAACTTTTGTTTCAACAATTCCAGAAAAAAACACTAACNTTAAAAGTAATTCCAATATTTCCAACTCCACTTAATTCTCATATGAAATATGATTATTACTTTAATCTAGAAACTTGGATAATTCTCAGATGTTATCTATTCAAATTTAGTTTATCTTAGCGAGTTTCGAATATAAAACAAGTATTAATTATTAATGATTATTTTTTTTCAACTAAATAGAAATTTTAAATATTTGAACTAATTATTAAGTTCTAAAAGAATTTAGTTATTATTCTATCAGCAAGAACACATAATCTATAGAATTTTGTCATTATTAATTCTGTTTTTGGTACAACATAATTAAAAACTTAGTAGCATAACATATTTGTAGTCTATATAAAGATTTATGAAGCTTATCAAATTCGAAAAAAAATAATCATTAATAATTAATACTTGTTTTATATTCGAAACTCGCTAAGATAAACTAAATTTGAATAGATAACATCTGAGAATTATCCAAGTTTCTAGATTAAAGTAATAATCATATTTCATATGAGAATTAAGTGGAGTTGGAAATATTGGAATTACTTTTAAGAAATTCTCTTAGAAATAATACCTAAAATACGAATAATTATATGAATAAGATAAACTGGATGAATTAGTCAGGAGTTCACATAATAATAATATACTAAACATAAAGTATATACAAAAGCTCTACTTTTTTTTGTTCTTTTCTGTTGCTGTTACTATAAACAAATAATTATTCTCGCATATACATTTAAGTTGCTGCTACATAGAAATAGATAATCATTGTGTTTCTTTTGTGGAGTCATTATAGAGTTCTTCCTCTATTTAAGTCAAGTTTTAATTGCTTTTTTTATTTTCTAAAATTTATCGTTCTTTTCGTATCCGTTTTGATAATACACAATTATTCTTCATATATAACATAGTAATCTGACATTGATTCTTATCGTCACAGTTTTCTTTTTATTTTTGAAAACTTTTGTTTCATTGCCTCAGAATCCTAATAATCAGAAACATATACTTATTCTTTTTTACTTGGTTTTCTTCTTAGTGACCCTGAATTCATCAAGATCTAATTCTAACAAAGCTTGCATTGAATGTTATTCATCCCAATAAAAACAAAAAAAGCACGATCATTATAACTCACTTATAAGTGATAATATCGAAATTCCTGTATCGATATATTAATAATAATTTTTACTTCTTCTTATATCGTATCAAAATGAACAAGATTCTTTCATACAGGTTTATGATAATATATTTTTTTCGTCTCCAGAAGGAAATAAGAATCGACCATAGTCGACGAGACTCAGGTATCAAGACGATCCATAGTATGAGCTCGAGTGAAGTCAGATGACTTTTACCATGTTCCCAAAATCCATTTGAAAGAGTTTGTCCTTTTCAGCCAATGTCGAAGTTAAAATGTTTACATAGAGCTTGTCTTTACAAATTTCAATCGTTTTCGCAGTTAATTTTTGATTATTTCATAATATTCACTTCTCCTCAAATTATGCAACAGACATGTTTTATTTTATTCGTGAGTCAATGGCTATGAGTCATATCAGTGAAAATCAATTTCTTCATCGACAAGCTATAAAAAATCAACTTAATTTCAGCTGGAATGTGAATTCTACATTGACAATATTAGTTTTTCAATCGATAGACCAGAAAAAATGCTAATGAACAGAAAAAGCTTTCCTCTGAACACATTCTACTATTATTGAAAGAAAGAATATGATGTTTATATAAAAGAAACTTGCAAGCTTAGAACAAAGGAAACATTACTATAATATGAGATGCTTGAATTATGTTTCTTAACATTACCAAATTGGGTATGGATATAAATTAACTTGAATTATTGCTAGAACTATACTATTATTAAATTTTTCGAATAAGAGCAATGGTTTATGTTTTTGCATATAGAATGTACTGTAATCCTTTCGTTATTCGAATATTTCAGTTTACTATTTTTGTTACGATCAATTATATGCTATAGATGGATCGTTTCTATACCTAACAGAATATATCTTACATTATTGATTATATTGAATCATAAAGGTCCTCGATATTTAAAGAACATTTCAACTCAACAGTAATTTTTTTATCTGCAGTTACAGTTGCATGTTTATTTATGAAAAATGGATGTTTTCTAAGTTTTTTCCTTAGATTTACCTATTACAGAAAATAAATTGAATCAAAAAATAAAATCCAATAAAGCAACAAAATCATTTCAACAAAAGATCAGTTTTACTCTTAGGATTAAACCTTGAACAGTTTTAGTTAATTGAAAATAAGTGCACGAATACCTATACCATTTTGTTTTCTAGGTGAATAATTTTCTACTAATCAAATCAACTACGAATATTTGTTTCATTACAATTATCAGAAGCATTCAAGATAATCAGTAGTACTATATCATGCCATTATCATGTTTTGTAAAGACAAAACAATCTTTATTTTGTGCAACGTACAAAAAGATAATGAATAGCTTCGTAGTAGTATTTTATGATAATTGAATTCTCATGTCCCGGAGGAAACAGAAGTGGATCAAACTGGACGACATTGCAAAGTCAAGAAGAACCGTAGCACAAGTTCAAGTGAATATGAATAATCGTAGTTGATGTCCGAAATTATCTTATTGAATTAAAATCTTCAGTGTGGTACTGCGCTTATGAATTACAACATGCACTGGATAAAGACAAAAAACATATTGTGACAACAAGCATAGGCCGATTTCTGTCAATACAAATTTGCCAAAGCAACACTTTTCATGTACGTAGCAAAAATAAACTTATATTGTACTATCAGATGCAGCATGTGTACTCATGGTACCTTCTTATACGCCAGTGACATGAACTTCTTGTCTCAATATTCAAGCGAATTACATGCGATGTTGATAAATTCATCTTTTATTAATGAAAGTTTTATTTTACAAATGTTTGAGTCTAGCAGGTTTAGAAAATGATCATTAATCAGTACAATACACAATTCTCGCAACTTCAACATTATCCTTCCAAACATCATATAAGACGTAGTTTGAACACCATGTCTTATTATAGAATTTCATTTGTAACTGATCTGAATAAATGACAAATATATTCTCACAATTATTTTCCAAATGTTTCTATCTAAAAGACTTGGATTCACGGCAGATCAATGGACTATAAATCAAAAGTGTGTAGACATTTCATTTTGTTTCAAATACTCTAGATTTCATCATACATATTTCTCTGAGTTTTGAACTGAAAAGAAGATTTATAGCATAGTAAAATACATTTCTCCATCAATGATGTGATCGAAAGCAAAATGATTTCACCTGTGGGGTGGGTGTGGGCGTGGATGTGGCTGTGGGTGTGGGTGGAGTGTGGGTTTGAGTCTGAGTCTTGATCTGGGTGTAGGTGGGTGGATGTGCGTGTGGCTGGATGTAGGTATGGGTTGCGGTGAGGGTGTGTTTGAATGTGGGTGGATGGGTGCGGATGTGTGGGTTTGGATGTGGGTGTGGGTGTGTGTTTGGACGTGGGTATGGGTGCAATTTTTGTTTTAGCCAACACCCATATCTATACCCACCCACCCTCACATCCACATACCCACCCACACACCCACATCCACACTCACATCCACATACCCACCCACACACTCGCATCCACATACTCACCCACACACCCACGCCCACACCCACACCCACACCCACATCCACACCATTACGACAGAAAGAGAACAAGGTTCAATCATACATAGATAAGCGTAAAAGTAATGCGATTATGAACACCACGTACCATTGATTGTACAAGAACACACAGAGAAAGAAAAGATATCACATAAGATAATATGCCTATTGACACACTAATGACTTATTACTTCAGTAAATTGTTTGCCCAGGGTCGTCTCTGTTAAAAATACCTGTTTGAAGAGTGGCGAGGGTAGAACATAAAGAAAAAAGAGACTCATATGTGGTATAAATGAAATATAGTAAGTGAGCAACATGAAATGAACGAACCAAGAAGTTCGTTCATAAGTGCAAGCATCATGAAACAGAAGGATTAATTGAGGTAGTTGCGTTATGAAACATATGATGGGGGCCAAGCAGAAGACCTTGTCGTTCGCGTGCTTGTTTTGCTAAAGTTCTATGCACTGGAAGGTGTTGACTGATTGCTTTTGACCGACTAATGAATACTATAATGATCAAACCGCTTAAAAGGTTAATGATAAATGGAACGATTTGATGCACTAGTGATATGTACTGAGCAAAGTTTTCTTGATTCGTACCAATCTCACTGACACACCACGAATAAAGTTCATCAGGATGGTTAACTAATTTATATTGATCGATATGTATATAGATCGAGCCAAATACCACAACAGTTATGAGTGCAGTAAAAATGTAGGCCAACTTGGGTGCGCGCAACGTAGAAAATTGTGCAGGCAATGTAACTAGTAATGCTCTGTCCACTGTGACAAACCCCATCAGCCAAAGACTTATATAGTTAAGCGAAGACATGAAATATGGTAGACTCTTGCATAATCCAATATTTAGCGATTGTCTAATGATAATTAGACGTGAAAGATACAGATAAGCAACGCGACTACATAAGAGAACGAGAACTAGTTGACTGGTAAATGCATTGACAAGAAGATAGAATCCACTACCTGTCTGACGAGATTTTGTTTTTACGAATGTGACAATACTGAAACCATTGAACATTGTACCGAAGAATACGAAGATAATCGGTCCAATGAAGTGATAACGGTCCCATTTTGCTTTTTCCATAAGATATTCCAAGGAGATTATAAAACGACTTGGAGAATATTGACAAAGCTTGCCTGATACACATTTAGGGCATACACAAACAAAGTCACTTTTATTCTGGGACTCACCTTGAATACAGTAGCCTTGATTAAGACAAAGTGTGCAGGCAATATTCCGTCGAAGATACGACACACATTCGCTTCTGTTTGGTGTCATCTTACTGCAATAGCATAGATAACTCTCCGATAAGAAACATGAATAATTCACTGGTTGCTGACAAAAGCTGTGAAAAAGTTTCACAGAACGATGCTCTGTTTCATTCAATAACCAGCACCGTTGAGGTTGAATGTCAAGATCGATTGTAAAGTTTCGCAGAACATTTGAACAATTTATGTAGAGCAGATGAATGCCGATATCAACTGATTTTATGCGTGGTTGAAATGTAAACATTAAACCTATTTCAGGTATATCGGCTTTTCTATAGTGCGTGTCATGTGTTTTCATTATTCTTGTGATTGGAAAATTGGTTGATGCGTGAACGAGAATATGTTGTCGTAAGCGTGGGTAATTTGAAGTCATTTTAAGCAGTTGAAGAAGAAAAGGCCACTCATTTGGTTTACTTTGATGCATAACAATTACTGTTGCTTGCAAGTCACAGTTCAAGCCGTTGCACAGACATTCATAACTATTAGGAGGTCGAGTAGAGAGAGCATAGCATGTTTCATTTAAAGAGCAAGGATGTAACTTCTCACACACAGTATTACGAACAAAACAATGAGGCTCAAGATACCCATATGGGCATACACAAACATTTCGATCTCGTGCAAGAGAATGGAAAGCACACTTTATGTCATTAATTCTCTTCTCACAAAAAATACCTTGCCAACCTCGTTGGCATATACATAAATGTTGTCCATTATTTGTATTATAACATGTTCCATTATTTTGACAATAATTATACGAACATAACCAGGGTAGATTACGATCTGGAAATCGCAATATTTTGGCAAGACGAAAAACAGGTAGAAAACTGAATGGAGTAATTGGATATTCCCATGCCGTTAGTATATTAGTTGAATGATAGGCTTCGAAACGAACTGAATATATTCCCTGCAGCCTAGGACGAGGATATTGCAAGTAGATAGTGTGTTTAGATGGAAAATCTTTGCCAATATCGAAAAACATTTGATGATCAATAATTGTTTGGTTATTGTATACAAGTAAAACCAGCACATGCATGACCAGTGGAAGATCGAAACTTTGGCATCGATCGAAGCGAACACGAACAGTTATGCGTCGGCTGTTAAATTGGCAATGAGTGCCATAAAAACTCGGAGGACAAAAGCAATAATATGCTTTACGACTTTCATCGGTCAGATAGAAACCTCGGTTACATACTCCATGCGGACGAGACTTTCCACTTTTTCTATTGCCAAGAATCATTAGTGATGTTTTAGTAGTACTAGTTGTCAATTGAGTACTCAAATGGCTAGAGCAAAACGTCTCATAATTCGATGGACGTCGACGTTTACTTAAGCGGTATATCATTGATGCAGTTCTCGCATTGGAACACCAAAACCAAAGCGTCTCATTTGAACATGTGCAGTTCGTTTTGGCATTACATCGACCATATTCACATGAATTTGTATCTAAACAAGCCAGTTGTTCTTTAACACACTGTTCATATTGGCAGAAACAAATATATTCATCTGTACGATCCAAACAATCAAATATGCCATTACATAAAGTTGTATAGTTAAGACATTTCGTTTAATTATCACATAAAAATCGATTGCCAAGCATTGTATGATCTGAACAAGAGAATACGTTACGTTCATCTTGGCCACCTAAACAGTCAATTTTACCATCACCAACATTGGTGTATGATGTACAAGGACGGTTTAGTATGCGATCCTGTAGATATTGTGATGTTATACAAAGATGTTCATTTGATTTGTTACAAACGAATTCTAAAGGCCATTCTTGTGATCGTCTAGGACAGTTCAATTCGTCTTCGCCATCATCACAATCAAATTCTCCGTCACATAAATATGTTCTTTTGATACATTGACTTGTCCTGTTGCACTGATAAGTTCCATGTGCACAAACCCATTTAGAGCAATTTCGTTCATCTCGACCATCCATCGTATCCCAAACTGTATCGCAATAAAGATGAAAAGGTAGTCGAACATCTTTTATTCTATTCTCAATGATTCCATCACCTCGAAATACCCAGCAAGCATAATTATCATCAACCCTACAATCCAAAGAAGACCAACTCAGTTCACTTGAGATTTCATCACTACCATCTGCACATTCGTTCACTCCATTGCCCAATTGTTGAAAGCTTACATACTGAACTGGCGATGATCCTGTCTGACAACGATATCGAAATGGTTCGATCATCGTGTAAGCACTATTCTTTTCGTCCTCAGCATAAAGGCAATCTTTGTAGCCATCGTTGACACGACGTAGTGAGATATAATCTGACGTATTCGGACAAGTAAAAACCATTGATAATGGTAGTTGTCCATATGTATTCGATTGGAATAGAGTAACACTGCAACATTTTAAAGGTAGACGAGTACTGACTGGGTTTTCTTGTTCCAATGACTGTTTTGTACGAGTGAAACATTAGTATTACTCAAAATGAATCATTCTTCTGTACTTCGACGTATACTTTAGAGATTTAAAATTATTTATAGGCTGTTTTAATTGAATATACAATAGGTGCATAGAATTTTTTAAACCGTATTTGATTATATCTCCGAAAAGTCTTTTGCGAACGTAAGTCTGTTGCATTTTTCTCTTAAATTGATTCTCTATTCCGGAGGATGGACGAAAGAACTTCATATATGAGATGTCTATACGAGAGATTTCTCTATCTTGGTCTATGGACACGTTTCCTTCGTATTATACTAGACTAACTACTTTAAGGATGCAGAGAAACGATAAAGAATTATGTACAACAATACAGTTGTAGAGTATATTTTTTGGATAGTACAGAATGACTTCCCTAAAGAAATGAGTGTACATGAAACAATCGGTTTAGGCTAAGAGGTAAATTTTTCATCAAATATTAAATACGCCGTCTGTTAAGCATAATCCACGAATAATCATTCTATGTTTCATAGCTTCTCATTCGTCAAATTGCAGAACACCACGTTGTTTGTTTTCTTATTTTCACAAAATTTGAACCAACTGTTATGTCAGTACAGACATTTTCGAGATAAGAAGACTTCCTCGATTCTGTTATTGCATTGGATAAGTACATTCTTTATTCATCTTTTTCTGAGTGAATTGCTTTTTCTTTCTGGGAATAAATTATTTGAAACAAAGGTTGAAAAAGAAAAGGTCTAAAATATTTGATACACTACGTAGGAAACAACATAGAGCTCACAACCACTATATGCGTTTCTCGTGTGAGAAGTAGATGTGATATCCGAAGTGTTTCTCTTTACTTAGAAGACGAAAAAAAAAGAGATCATAAAAGCTGCTTTCCAATATAGGAATAATACAGCTACTTGAAAGAAATCGCAACATGAATGAGTTACCACGTGATTTAGGAAAGATGACTCCCCGTATGATTGCAAATGAACCCTTAAATCATATAGTGGTTACCTGGGATTATGGGGATTACCACAGCTTACGAGATATTATCAGAGTATACCCAATATTCCAATGGATTATTAAAAACTGGAGTGTTATAACATCAACTGTACCCTATCCTCATGCTCAAAGCAGAAAGGACAGGCTTCATTTCTTTGCAAAAGAGAGTATCTGTTATTCCATTGTGTCGTCATACCACAATGTTGCTATCTCGGTTATAAGACTAATAAAATTAATCTGTTCAGAAAGACAGGAAACAAGTCGAACCCTATAACATGCTTTCCTTTATTGCCATATAAAGTGAATTCATTCGCGAATGAAATAATTCTAATATGAAGGTGAAGTTAATACTTTATGACTGATAAATGATGCAGCTAGTAGGCATTTGTCTTCTCCGACAGTAGTAACTTCATGGATTATTTAATTGTGTATGAAAGTTTTCTGATGAGTTTGGGCAATAAAAAAGATCCTTTTGCTCACAGAAGACAAGTCTAGAAACGTTAACATCTTTCAAATCAGTCACAATACACTTGTCTGTAAAATTTTATCTCTTCAGATGACTAACTTTTCAAATTTGGCTTGTTTTACTGCTTCATGACAGAATAATTGAGATATTGGGAAGAATGGATACGAAGTAAGTGTTCGAAAGTAATTGTAGTTCATACAATGATCTTTCTGGAGTGCCATCCAGATCCCATGGCAAACCATCGAACCACTGAAACAGACAAGATCCGGTCGTTTTAACATTTGTTTTGTAAAATTTTGCTGACTTCTATAAAAGTCGATGATTCGAGACCTTTTATAGAACATTTTGAATACTGGAGAAAACACAGACTGTTCAGGATATTCAATAGTTTCTAAACAACGATCCTTAATATTGTTTATAGCCATTTTACGCATTTTACTCAGTTGTTGTTCTCCAGTTGTGAGGAGCAAATACCGAAGACTTATCAAACAGCTTGATGTATTTGTCAATTGAGGTATTTGAAGACTTGTTGGCGAACAGATAGCATTTGCTATCAAATGATTAGTTATTACAAAGTCGGGTGTCTCGCAGAAGTAAGTTGCATCACGCCAATTTTCACAAGAGACCTGATGATCAATGAGAGAAGACCATTTTACGCATTGCCCGTCACCACATGAAAATTCATCCTTCCGACAAAGACGTTCATCACATTCCACTGTCGACATTTTCGGACACCTATTGTACACTTGATAGATATCACTCAATTCTTGTTCATCACTCAAATCCATACAATCGGGCACCGCATCAAATAAGAACTCCTTTGGAATACACATTCCATTTCGACATTGGAATTCATCCGTGTTGCATTTGTTGAATTCTAACAAATGGCAATCGAGTTCATCAGCTGCATTTTGACAATTGACAATGCCATCACAAATTTGTCGCCATTCCAAATTAAGAGTACTTGTATTACATGATATTTCATTGACAAAAGATGCTGGTAATTCTGATTCTTTTTGGATCTCATTGTTACCGTTTAATTGCATTTGTATCACTTGAGAAATACTTACAGTTTCCTTTGTCAGTTTATATTCACATTTCGTGCCGATTCGACTTGGAAAACATTGACAAATGGTTGTGTTGTCATTGGAATCAATAGAAGTGGAAATCAAATAGCTTGCATATCGTTCAATAACGCTAAATGGAATAAGCCAATCGATGAGTTTGTCCGTAGTGACGTTCCTTTGTTTCAATTGAGAAAATGGTCGTAGTTGACCTTTTGTGCATGTCATTTTTGTCTTTTGTATAACAATCTGATCGTCTGCCGAATAACAGAAGTAACGAGAATCGTATAAGAAGCAATCTGTGTTCAGTTCATCATTGGAATAAATTAACCATTCATTGCGTTCAGCTAAAGCAAAAATGTCATAACAACTGAAGATGAATGTAAACGACGTCCACAGAAGTATCATTCCTTTTATCATTTATGACTAAACCAAGTTGAATAAATTTATGAATAGAATTAAACGACTGCTTGTAGAGTACTGATGTTGATACACATTGTATTGATTTAACAAGAGAATTGCAAATTCTCTCTCCACAGAGCTCAGTAACAAAAGTAATCAAAGACTGCACCTAACTGACAGTTGCTAAAAGGCGTTAACACGTAAATGGCAATGGCTGATGCAAAACTTCAAGTCATTCACAGTCAATAGCACGTAGCTTATATTTACTAACAGTCACTTGTTTTTTTGTTGCAGCTTTCCTTAAAACAAGCATGACTTTTGTTTCAACAATTATAGAAAAAAAAACAGTAATTTTTGTCGCATTTGTTTTGCATGGAGGGTGTGGGTGTGTGGGTGTGGGTGTGGGTGAGTGTGGGTGTGGGTGTGGGTGGGGGGGGGTGTGGGGGTGTGTGGGGGGTGGATGGGGGGGGGGGGGGTGGTGG